GACATGTGATTTTCATTGTTTCTACAATGCGTGTGGTTGTATATAGTGACCAAAAATCATATGATTCGACGGGTTTATCTGAAATATTCAAATGATCCAGTTCATGTGAAAATTGAAACGGATCTTTGACACTGTGGATTGCCAGCTTTCTTCGGACTGGTTCCAACTTTTGCATCAACTAACTAACCATTTTATAGCACAGTGAACAAGCACCTTGAACATCTTAAGAAAAGAGTAAATGATAACAACACCTATAATGAACTTAAACCAAGAGATTTGTACATGGAATTCATGTATGGTTTGTCCAAAGTCCACAAATGAGATATACCTTTGAGACCGACAATATCATTGGTGATATATAGCTCTATCACCAAACAATGACATCAGAGAGCATCTGTTTTCACACATTACCTGGTGGACCTTACCGTTTACAAATTCTCACTAGAACATCAGGATATCTATCCTGTAGTCAAACAGTAATAAGTGGTGGGTTCAATCCTGAGTGTTGGCTTGCAGGGAACTGACTGATTTTAGGTTAGAAATCTAACTTGATAAGTTCAAAGGAAAAAGTTGTAGAGATAAAATGACCGGTGTTGAACTACTTCACTTTTTATATATCCACCTCCACCTCTTCGTATGAACTCGTAGTACTCTCCCATACTTTTGGACAGAGCATTCATTGAGAAACCGATATCCCTAACATGAAGGAAGTAGATGAACTGAGATGTATATATAGCTTTGGTAAGTTGCCGAATCTTGTCTTTCAGGTTACTGGCGAATACCATAAATGTCATTTTTCGAGATTTTAAGATTTTTTTATTATGTCCCAACTATATCACCTTTGAATTCAAGTTTCAAATGCAGAGTTGTCTTGGATGTGGAATATAAGTAACACTTCGTTGGCTTGCATCTATATTTTATTCTGTGATAGGAGTTGAGTACTCATTTTAATTCAGGAATTTTCCTGAAAGATTTACGCCTTTTTCCATGGCATCAGTGCTGCATATACACCGAATAGGAATAGTGAGTGATACAATTAAGTTTCATTGTAACCAGCGTTCATCAAGTTGTAGAAATTTATCAGCTGACCACTCGGGGACAGATTACTATGAATGGGACTAATGTTCTGTTGTTGAATCACTAATTAACTAAATGCGCATTTCGATTTGGTAATAGTAATAATCACGAAATATATATACGTCCTTTTGCTGCCGTTATTGCTTTGTTTTACCAACTGTTCCAAGTTAAACGTTATATAAACGCAGATGGATTGCGAATTCACTTATCTCATTTCGCATAAAAGGATACTGACTATCCCAGCTAGCGTTTTCTTCGGGCACATTGCAGAATGTGGGACAGTGATCTGCGGTCTGCCTCAGTGGTTCAGCGGTGCGCCCGAAGTCTGTCCCAAACATTCTCCAATGCGCCCTAAGTCTCTGCAACTGACTATAAGTTTGAATTACTCCCCTACAGTTATTCGCTGAACCCTTAGTCAATAGCCACCACAAATGCAAACCCATTATGTACACAGCCTGTTGCAACAAACAACATACTATCATCAACTCAAAGACTTACGATATTAGAAAGCAGTTGAATTTAATGAAACATATATTTAATATTCATGCAAAATGACTTTACAGTGTTTTGACATATCATACGAGTCAAAGACCATATAAATCACCAGAGGCATTCATCCGTATATCTTCTGCATCTTGTCTGTTCTCCTTGTTCTGGTCGACGGTGAACTGAAAATAAGTGGAAAAAAATTGAGAAATACCAAAGGGGAACGCCGTCGTTTCTTTACTCTTGCCTTCAGTCCGTCACGACTGTTGTGGAATCAGTGTTAAATGGAAAGCATGACGGCTTCCACTAAGCTACGTATATCAGCACTGCCTTGTTGGTGGGAACTGTTAGTGGTTCCTGAAAACTACAATGAAAACAAAATTCACCCAAAGATTACAAGGTCACACGTCTTCGTGTCCCTGGATTGCCTCTTCGATATGGTAGCAGCTGATGAGAATTATGTGCTGTACGTTGGCTCCAGCAAAACATTCATGATAAGACCAACGGAGATTTGTACACTAGAGTCAACCGAAGTGCCGAGGTAGGCAGACACACTATAAAGGCATTTCTCGTCGGATAGCCTCACCTCAAGGGAAAACGTGACATGGCGACTAATACTTATGTCCTTCGTTCAGATATCTTATTGATTAGGGGACGTGCATTTATAAGTAATATCGTGAGTAAGTTACGGGATATTACAAACTGGGTTAAAATATCATCATAACCCAATTCCATATGTCCATCAGCACCGGCAGAGTTCATGGGGGAAAGGATGGCCGGACTGGGTGTCCATGCATCTGGGTTACAGCGTGAAGAGGTAGTCCTAGGTGCCATCGATCGTACCAGTGATTCATGACTACTAAAAAGTGTACTTTGTGTTCCTGGATGTACAGGTAGTAGTGGTTTGGACTGGGTTGTGGATTATGAGGCAAAGCATTGTAAGGTCCATCCATCAAGCTGTCATTTAGCATTCCAGTACGTGTCTTGTTGTTTTTGTAACCAGAAATATATTGTGAGAGAAGGTGCTTCGGTTGCAGGACTTCGGGGTTTTTGAAACCTAAGTATCCATAAGGCACAGTATGCTGAAAACCGCCACCCATATATGTGTTTTGAGAGGGTTTATTAATATCTAGTATCGGTTTGTCCACACGCTTACTTTCGGCAGGCTTATTGAATACAAAGTATTCATCCCCATCTTAAGACTCAATCCTGAGAAATTTGTTCACCATGGTGAGGTTTTTACGTTCAGGTGAAAATTGCTTAGGACCACTGTGGAGTTCGTAACCAAATGATTGTACACTTTTTGGTTAGACGTTGAAGTTAGAAACATAGTACGTGACTGTTGTTTAAAACGATTTATGTTTAAATACATATAACTTCCGAGTGCAATTTGAAATACACTATACTGTTGGTAGCTTCGCCTTTTCTCTGGCCATTTCTGTCTACCTGCTCCACTCAAACCGTGTTGTATACTTTGGATTTATTGCAGGGACGTATTATCCTTATCCGAAGACAACTTTACAACCGGAACACAGCTTCAATCAGTAGACATGATTCCAAAAGTCAACGCTTCTGTGGATTATATAAATAATTTGTAGCAGTGGACTTTAACAACATATCCAAGTAACCTATTCATTAATATCACTCATTACTGCATTTTGATAATATATTGTTCCATTGTAATCTCATTGACTTGGATTTTTATCCGCATATTTCTTATATTAATGAACTTGCTCTAGACAGTCCCCTACAAATTGATAGGTGAACCCGTTTGAAAATCTTCCAAGGATTGCTAATATAACTGTATATATTCGAAAATGTTAACAATTTTGAAAAGAACCAAAATGTTTAGAAAGTTGTGCAAAATGTAACAATAAAACCAGAAAAATTATTAGAATAATGGTGCGGTTGTTATTGTAAAGAGCTACAGAATAGATTTATGTCTTACATACAGTTAATAGTACAGTAATAAGGTAGTATGGAAATGAATTAGAAATAAATTGTCTGTACAAACCTTTGTGGCCAATGTACTTGTCTGCCTGATCTTGTGATTCTTTCTGTTTTGTTAGCCGGAATATCATCAGATTTTGAATCTTGAGAGCAGGACTCATTTTGCGGCTCAACTTTAGATGATGTTGATTAGGGTAAACATTCAGTCACCTCTATTTCCATGAAAGCTATTTAAACACGATCGATGCTTACATTCTCGTGTTTTCCTCCGCGTTCGACAGTAATGATTTTGCTTGTTCTGCTTACTACTTTAAATGGTCCGTCATGAGGTGGTTGAAGTGGTGTGTCGTGTCGTATGAAAACATGCGTGCAATTGTCTAGTTTTTGAGGCATGTTTGCTTGGTTGAGCTGATGTCGCGGCGGATGATATCTTAAAAGGCTCATATGTTGTCTCAGTTGTTGCGCAAAAGTGGTTTCGTCAGCTGGAACTTCAGTGGCTGGGTTGAAATATTCTCCAGGTAGTCGTAAAGTAGCTCCATAAACTAATTCTGCTGGACAACATTCGATATCTTGTTTTATTGTCGAACATATTCCAAGAAATACAAGAGGTAATTTATCGCTCCACTTATCATCGTCCTTCACTGCCATCAATGATGCTTTCAGTTGACGATGAAATCTCTCCACTAAGCCGTTTGAATTGCGATGATATGCAGTAGTACGTATACGCTTGATTCCCAGTAGTTCTGTGAGTTGTTGGAATAAATGGCTTTCGAATCGGGCACCTCTGTCTGTAGTAATAATGCTGGGCACTCCGAAGTTGGAAATCCAATTTTATATAATGCTCTTTGCAACAGTTTCAGCAGAAATATCAGTTAAAGGAACAAGCTACTGGCCATCTCGTAAATCTTTCAATACACGTTAAGATGTACGTAAAGCCATTAGATGGTGGTAACGGCCCAACGATGTCAATGTGTATGTGTTGGAACCTACCATCAGGTTCTGGAAACTGGCCATTAGGTGAAACTATATGTCGTTGTACTTTTGACTTTTGGCAGGCCAAAAATGCCCTGGTCCACTGTTTAATCTCACGATTCATATTCGGCCATATATATCGGTCACTTATCAGTTTAACTGTTGCTCGGATGCCAGGGTGAGAAATGCCATGTATTTTGGAAAAAACTGATCTTCGCATTTCTAGTGGGACAAAAGGACGCGGTTTACCTTTGGAAACATTACACGTAATAGTTAGGCTTTCATCAAGCATAACATCTTGCAAACGTAAAGAAGTACTCGTGCTATTTTTTATTCTTTTCAGATCCTCGTAGAACGGATCACGAGTCACGAAAAGCTTTTCAAAGAGCCATCAGGCAGTGAAACATTTTTTATACGATGTTGCTCAAAATGGTATTTGATTACGCAAATACAGTGAAATAAAGATTTACGATGATTTAGCTATGTGAAAAGACATAAACAATGTCTGGTCTCTACTACATCACAGTTGAATTCGAGTTCGCATCTGCATGTGAAGATGGGGGAGATATAGCAGGGAACCTCAAGCCTTCATTACTGTCTGTACCAATACATACTTGTCTGCATTTTAAACTTGCTGGATTTAAATTTGATAAGACAGAACTACCACAGTTGGAGGTGATCAAATTTGCATGGATGATAGTACCGGCTGGTGATGATGAACCAACAGGACCGAAAGTAGTAAAATCAAAATAATTGGATTTGTCATTAGTGTTCATCATTCCAAATTGTGAACAACTATTTGCATTGGGTTTCGCGAATACTGATTGTGAGTTAGTATTACTAGTTGTGTTATTACATATTTGACCATTAAAATTCAAACGGTGGGATTTAGACGACAAACCTTCATGATGATTTAAATTCATGCCAGCTGTTTGAATCACTTCTGTGGAGTAAGCATCAGGAACAACTCGAGGACTGAATGATGAACAAACAGCTGTTGAAGCTATTGTCATGGAATCAGTCGATGAATTCTCAGCTACTTCCAGAGACGGTAACGATGATGTTACATTAATAGAATGAGAAGAATGAAAAATATTGGAAGTGATGTCATTCCGCAAAATACCGGGAGGTGGAACAAAAAGGGGTGGGGGAGAAGAAGCTGGGGCTGAGCTTCCGACGGGTAGTGCTCTGGCACCGCCGAGAGGCATGGAGCTTGCAAGGCCAAATTTTGTAGTCTGAGAAGTGACGTGGTTAGCTAGGAAGTAGTGTTCCAGGCGAGTGAACCACAAATATGGGTCGTTAGGTTTAAAAGGTGGTATGGATATGGTAACTGCAGCCACAGACCTTGTACTTGAAGTATCGTTATCAGTATTAAATGACATCATAAAAGTGCAGAAAAAAATATATATAGGTGATAGCAAAATTGCAAAAAGCGAGCAAAAACAGAACAGAATATAGGTAAGTTCAAAAATGTCCAAAAATGGTCTGCTTACCGGAGGTACTTTTAGCAAAAATATCAGTAAATATATATCCAAATGTAATGCAGTTATAAAAGTTAATACGATAGCAAAGATGATTAAATCCACTGTGTAAATACTTCGAAATGATGTAGTCGATCGATCAGCTATGTCGGGCTCACCAATTGTTGTGCTGCTCTATTTTGACCAAACTAGCGTACACATATCCTAGTACTTCTTCACGTTTATAATTGTGTCCTAACGTTGTGATTACTCGACATCCACAACGTAATTCAAAAGACACTTGCGAAGGAATACGATAGTGTATTATTTCAGCAATCAAAATTCAAAAATTGGGCGAGTACGAAAGTATCAATTGTTAACACGCAAGATTTAGAGTGATAAACAAATCAAAGTCCAATTACATAGTGAAAGTATACTACGATGATGAGTAATAAAATGGGGTATTAATGAGTTAAGTCTCCTAATTACTAATGGTGCCAGGTTCTCTGTATGTGCATCCAATTAATTATTATTATTGTATCCTTTAATTCCTAGAGGAACATAGGGCTTCAGCCGTGCGTCTCCATTGAGTTCGGTTCTCTGCTAGAGTCTTCACCTGGCTCCATGTCTGCCCACACTAGCATCCAATTAATGCTATTGCCTTATTTATGTGTACGTTAACCCATAGTCTCAGGCATGTTAAGTGTACTACTTTCTAGCTGTGATACGTTGAGTGCGTTCAGAAAGTGCATGGTACAACCCTCTCCCTCATCACGTTAACTTTTACACTGAATGTATGTGTAGTTATCTAAGCTTATCTCTTCATCCACTATGTTCGAATGACACCAAGATTCAGTGATGACAACTATAGGGGGGTTGTATATTAATATATGTGTATATTTTGTGTATTACTGTGAGTGCTCTGAGCTTCGGCAGTTTATTTAGAACAGATCTAGAATTTATGAGGATTAGGTAAAGATGGGAGTTGAAATAGCGTTTGAAGTATTTAAGTTCGTTAATCAGCCCCGAATATGGTTCAGCACCCAGTAGTTCTGCTTGACATGACAACCCTATGTTAAGAGGATTTTCAACATCACGCTCACCTATGTCTATCGAGTTGGTGTGTGCTGTTTTCGGTGAAGAATTAGGAGTTGGGGTACTGGATTTGCTGTAGGCTAAGGCATTTTTATTTTTAGTTAGGCTAGAAACGTGGGTAGGGATCTTTATTTGACCTAAACTTGTGCATGTATCAAGTGTGCTTAATGGATGCGGGTGCACTAGACTGTTCCTATATTCATGCGAAGGGGGAGCCAGCACTAGTGGTTTAGGAGTGTTAAAATCCCTACCAGCTGTTTTTTCAGCGCTGACAGGGACGCAGGGGATAAAAAATGACTGGATGCTTGTGATGACCATGGTTAGTTATTCCACCTATTGTTTGATATTAGTTGTGTCCTCGTACGGGTTTCGTGTGTACTGCATTGTGGGCTCGTTCCCAGCAGACCTGTATCACATATCAGATCAAAATTTGTTTGTCTGCCATACTCTGAAGTCCCTGAGTTGTTGGTAACCGAGTTCTGATTATTGCCACTTTTACTATTGAGGGTGGCATTGTTGTGATGTTGGTTATTGGTGTATGCCATGGTGCGATTTCGCAGGTCGTGAGTGCTAATACTATTGGCCGTGGAAAGTGCGGGCTTATTTATACTATTATTGTTATTGTTGGCATGATTTGGGGTCTGATTTTCCCTATCGTGTACGTTTTTCTGAGAAGCATTTGGTGAGTGCATTTGATTTTTCGGTGCCAGTGACATATTTTGAATAGATTTGTTAACCATTTCCTCTTTACCAATGGAGTTATGGCTGGGGAAGGACAGCGTCGACTTTCGGGGACTTTGACCTATTTTTCTGGAGTTATTTAGTGACATGTCTAAATCTACGATGATCGGTCGTATGGTTTTATTAGTTATTTGATTACAATCTAGTGGCCTTTCGACCGGTGTTGCACTCCGAGGGGATAATTCTGTGTGGTTTGAGAGGGGTGATGCGGTGAGTTCTACGGTATCTCTCAAAGGGTTGGATATAATGGCTGCTTGCAATGTCCTGTTATTTTTTCCACAATCAGGCTTAATGAGATAATTGTGTGCGCGCCTTTCTATGACTGTCTTGTCCACCACAACCTTTATTAGTTTGTAGTTTCTGGCTTGCTATAGAGTGTGTTGGGAGTGGATGAATTCTCTGGTCTCTTCCAGTGTTTCGAACTGAAGACAAATAGGACAACACTTTTCATGTTGACTCTTCTTCAGTCTATAGCACTTATTCTGGGAGTTGGGCATTTTCGCCTCACTAAGTAAGATGCTCTGTATCTTATTTAGTGCCTCATTTGTGGCGGCCTAAAAACATATCAAATTATATGTTCACGAAAAAAAGAAGGAATTCAACCTAAAAACCTTGAACCGCGCGGAAGGAACGAATCGTTCGCCATCTCTCCGGCTGCTCGCCCAGCACATCTGCTGACCAACGCTGCCTCGCACTGGTTGCATAGATTTGCTCTATCTGCCTTACTCTACGTGGATCCTTCAACGGTTGACAGCGCTAAGTTGTAGTGGAGAATTTGTATAATCAAGAGAAGACAATTACATTCCTATAATTTCGTACGTCTATAATTTGTGTATTTTGTGACTGTTATAGTTTTCTTCAAATAACCTCAGTCCTATTTTTGTGTATATTAACTTAAGTGAACTGAATATTTTATATACACGTATTTGTTAGTACTTGTTCTGTCCTTTTAATTGCGTTTATATACTTACCTAGCTACTAGGTCCACTACACATTGTCCGGAACGTTGCAGACAACAGCACTCAGTTTTCCGTCGAGTCGCTTTGTTACTTCTGTAGTAACAAAGTTAATGAGGTTATCTACTATAAAATTCCTCTCCTTATAAACAAGGGTAAACTAAACATCAAACATGCAGACATGTGTGAACTGTTTAACGAGACGTTTGCAGCTAACTACCATAAGCCCATAAGCCCACTTCTCGGTTTACAATCTGCAATGGAACTTCCTTCTTCTTCAGCGCTGAAACAAATCAGTTCAATTCATTTCACTTATTCTAATATTAACCAAGCCATTAAAACCCTTAAAAGCTCTAGTAGTGCTGGTATTGATTGCATAAGATCGTATTTTTATAAACAGGGTGGTTCTGACATTTCCTTATTATTACTTAAAATCTTTACAATGTCCCTATAAAGCCAAACCTATCCAGACAAATGGAAAACCACATTTTTTATTATTATTTATTTTGATTACAGCTTGATGCCACACCGTATTTTCAGTACAAGTATGGCATTTTCAGCATGGATATCGATAGCCCGAATTTCGCAGGCCGATCACAGATATCGGGTGTGCGTCGGCAGATGATCGAACCCCGGACCATGTGCATGGTCAGCGAGAGTCCTAACCAATGTGCCACCGACGCACCCAAACACATGCGGATCGAAAACTGAAGTCAACAACTATAGGCCAATCAATATTACACCCATAGCATCTGGAATTATGGAAAGAATAGTTAAAGATGATATCCTCAAACATATGCCCAGCTGCAATATTCTAAGTCCCAACCAACATGGATTCCTAAAATCCAGATCATGCACGACCTGTCACCTTGACTTCTTTAACTATATAACCAGTAGCCGAGACAGACAACAACTAGTAATAGTCATCTACTTCGACATCTGCAAAGCCTTCGACCGCGTTGACCATTTGCTTCTAATAAATAAGCTGAACTCCTTAGGAATACGTAACCCATTATAGGGTGGCTTGAATCATTCCTTAACAACAAATCCCAAGTAGTTAGACTGGGGTCTGTAAACTCTAAACCTAGTCCAGTCACTTCTGGAGTAGTTCAAGGTAGCGTCTTAGGCCCCCTCCTATTCACTCCATATGTCAATGACATATGCAGCTGTTTCTCACTTGGCAAACCATCCATCTTTGCAGATGATCTTAAAGTAGCTTACACATTCCACTGTGATGACTTAGGGTACTTCCAGAAAGCTGTTCAGAAAGAACTAGATAGAGTAACTGCATGGTCCTCCACATGGAACCTAAAATTCAACCCTAAAATATGTGGTTGGATCTGTTTCTGTGCGCCCTCAATAAATATCAAGCTGGTACTTGAATCTATTGACTTGCCTAAACTCCAAAGTGTTGTTGACCTAGGACTCAGGTACTCTAGTGACTTGACATTTTCTGAGCAAGTGGCGACACAGACGCGTAAATCGAGAATGCTCTTAGGATGCATACTCAGGAACTTCCACAACTACGAAGCGAAACTATTATTATATAAAACTTATGTCAGACCACTACTCGAATATTGTCCATTTATTCTCAGCAGCACTCGCGTAAGTGACAAACTTAAAATAGAAAGTGTCCAACGATACTTCACGTCCAAACTACTAGGATTTGACTGCGAAAATGACTACACATCAAGGTGTATAACTCTAGGTATCGACCCACTCTGGATGAGACGACTGAGCATTAACCTAACATTCTTCTTTAAAATATTGCATAAAATATCATTCTCAGACAGCAAGGAGATACAGTTCTCACCGAAAGGCTCCTACAACCTTCGTAACCAAACGTGCACAGTATCTAGGAAAAACTGTAAGACAGCACTCCGTTCAAACTTCTTCATAGTCATGTATTCTAAGATCTGAAACAGTTTACCCCTAGAAATAAGGACCTGTCACTCTAATATAACCTTCAAACGCTTGCTATATAAACCGCTTCATCCAAATGACTATGCCAATCACACCGCACCACTTATTTCTAAAACGCATGAGCTATTAGAACACTATAACGCCTAGACTCATTACTAAATATTATGACACTAAATAAACTCTAAGACTTTGCAAAAATACATGAAAACACAACTACAATATAGGTTGATGTTTCTATACTGTAATACACAATCGACGTAAACATTTATATATGCATAAAACATTGATTTTCTTTTCATGTTCACATACTTTCTCTTTCTGGTGTTCTGCTGCTGCGCCGACTCTTCTATTTACCTTGTGGTCGAGGTCGAACAACCCTACATTTAAACTGAAGTGAAGCTGGACTTCAGACCATTTAAGTAAATTCACACGTCTCCACTCAAGCTAATGGCTCATAACCACTCAAATTCCATGAACGATCCGATGCTACCATTTGAAGTCGCTAGCCGACATTCTGTACAAGGAGTATTCATGATCTGAAATAAAGAAGCAACTGGTTTTCAAACAGTTTTCAATGTATTACTCAACTTACGCGTACAGTCTGTCATGCTGACACAAATGGCGCCAATGGAGAGTTCTGGAATCGACCATGAAGTAATCCAACATGACCTCATCTAGTTTTCGTATCCACGAACAAATTTCTTTCCTATTATAAAACTACGATTAGAGTGCTGAAAAAATTGAATAAATACATCACTGACCTCAAAATAATACATCAACAAACTTTAAGTCAAGGATGCTGTTCATAACAAAGTTATGTAGGAGAATTGACTTCAAGCTTTATTTTTCCCAGATATTTATATTACATTCATCTGATGTCTGGGTTTTTTGTTAATGCAAAGACAATATTTCTATATCTCTTTATATGTTACACAGACAGACTATTTTGCAGACTGTTCTGACTGACTCTAGTGTTAGAAAGAACAAACAAACTGTAATTTATATAATAACTTATCCATGCCTGTACAACTGGTATGTCCCTGCATAAACAGGAATAAATATAGCATAAGTTTTAGTGATTGTTAATATGGCAGTCGAAAGTAGCCTTAGAAATGGCACCAAAACACCTTACTCTGTAGTCACAAGGGCTTCAGCCAGAGAAGGCAAAAACCCAGGGACACCAACCCCAAGTCGCATACCCATCCTAAAGACTCGTGTAGGACTCGCCTGTCCTGATACTATGCCTGCATTGCCACAGTCAAGTACTGAAACGGCACAGGCAATACTAGGGGGACAGGATATTACCCCTGCATCAACTGAAAACCAGTGTGTGAAACACAGCAAACCTAAAAGGAAACGCTCATGACGTCATAAGACTTCGAAGGCGTCATCAAGTAAGGGAGACGAATGCCAGGCATGCAGTATCATAGTTGCTAAGGCTGACTAAGCCTTTGAAAGCAATTTTCGCAAACGGTAGGTGCACTACCATTGTGATAAAGAGGTGCCGAATGCATACTACGAGTTTATGAGAAATAACCCGTGCCCGTGGTTTTGGTACATCTGTCCACTTTGTCACCCTGGCAAAGTCCCACAGAGCGTGTCTGCGGATAGCAGAAACAACAAGTCGCTCTTGTGTCCCAACAAAGTCTTATGCAGCTCCCCACCTGCTAACACCACACTGCTAAAACTTGGCACAGACACTAAGAAGGACACTCCAGTCCTACTGAGTGAAAATGCCAATTTTCATTAGGTGAAGATTCAAAAGGTTGGACCCACAAAATCAAGGGAAGAGAGAATTAGAAAAGTACCATTTGCATCCACAAGCAAGCTCGGCAACACAACAAAGGCTGGTCAGAACCTGATGAAGCCAAAAGTTGCTGATGCAGCAAAGGAATACAAGAAGCCAAAGGCCAAACCTAAGTCTGAGGTTAATCGGTCTAATTCTCTCATCCTCTTTAACGTACCTGTGAGAAAGGACAGCTTGCTTGAACAGCGGGCTATGTTTGATCAGGAACAGTGGTCCAACCTGTGCAATAAATTAGGTCTGAAAACTAGTTCAGTGAAATTGTGCAGGCTGTGCAGGGGTGTCCACACGCCTCAGGGTAAGCCACCTCCATTAAGGGTTACACTGGACTCTGCCGAAGAGGCCGAAAAGGTACTATTGATGGCTCAGGTACTAGCCGTCGACAGAAGTTCGAACATAAGGGTGAAACAAGATAGACCATGGGCTATCAGACAAATGGCGAGGGAGTCACCGGAACCGATGACTTCTACTCTATTGTGGTACACGGTGTTCCGGAGCTGGAAACGGGCACTGCTTGTGAAAAACACATGCATGACGTCCAGCAATGGAGATGACTGTCATCTCAGATGGCCCTGGGCGCTTCTGGAGCCATCTCCATTTCCCGACTACCTCGACCCACTCATCTCACACCGATTAGCTCTCCAAAGCTTCTAAGTGTCACATTCAACTCCCCAGAGCAGTTGGTCATAGCACTTCAACGGTTGAATGAGATCAAGGGGAAAATGGGAGGACACATCCGATACTGTGAAAGCAGACCTCGAACCATAAGGAGGCAGCAAACTGAGGCTTTAATACGTCCCCAGGCTTCAGTGACACTAGACCGATGTAGTTCTGAGAATAACAGTCTGTGTCACCTAGGGGTCCTGCCCAAATCCGGGTGCGCTCCCACTTCTTTTCCCAGCGGGTTTGCCGTCCCAGGAATTCCTCACCGGCAGATGTAGCTATGTCACCGTCTGTGGATGCTTTTAAGCGAAGGCTGTGTAGGATTATTTTTGTCCTACAGATTTAGTCCCTCCTCAATACTGACGATACAGAGTCTCGGCTTAGCTATAGTTAAAAACAGGATGACTTGACTTAACTTTATCTGTTTCTAAAACATAAAATAAACCATACAATTACACCAAGAAAAATGTACAAATCCATTGTCATCACAAAAATAGGACAAAAACGTACCGAACAGCATTGAAGGTACGGACAAAATGAACAGTCAATTAATTACATGTATATACAAGTAAAGTGACAGACAAAAAAGAACATTCAAGGTCATCACGTGGTGAGAGTTACAATAAATTGACCAATAATCGCGACAAAAAAGGTCACATAATATTGATTGGCTGTTTATCATACAATCTATCTAACTGTCGCGATTAACACTCCCCGCGAACGATCACCACGTTGACCTTTCGTACGCTTCTTATATCTTGTTCCACTTCTTGAGTTGAAGTTTTCAAACACAGTGTCCTGACGTGGCCGTCTTGGTCATAGTACATCTGCTTAACTATAGCCTTTCGCCAGAGACCTCTCTGTGTGTCAGCACTGTTAACTAAGACGAGATCATCAGGTTGTAGGTTGTGCTTTATATCCAACCACTTAGATCTTGTTTGCAGCATCAGAAGATATCCACGTAGCCATTTATGCCAGAGCAAATCATTCAAATATTTTGGAAGTAGTTGACTATAGTGTTGGAAGAAAGCATATCCATACATAGCATTCTCTTTACCTTTGTAATATTGTAATTTTCTTAAGAATTCACCAATTACTGAACGAGCCGCAGTTAAAAGCCTTTTTGGAACTAAGGAAATACACAAATCAGATGCATCGTCCTCACCGAATACTTTATGTGTACGTCCCATAGAATCGTCAGCTTCAATCAAAACTCGCAGAATCGCATAACAAGCACAATAATGTGCTTGACACCATGATCCAAAGTCATCAACATTTTCTGCTGGAGAATAAAACTCCATGGAAGTTACAACTGAAGGAATCATTGACAACCAATTAATACAGACTACATCTGAGACATCGCCTTGAGCACAGTCGGTAGTCAAACCGAACTGCTCCAGAACAAGAGGTAAATCAGATAAATAAATTCCAACGCACTCAGCTCGACACTTATCTATTGCAGATGAAAGGTTTGAAAACTTGTTGTCATACGTTTCTCGTGGTTCACACCAAGCTTTTACAGGACCTCCATTTATGACATACTCAGTAGTTTTCGTGTGGAAATTTCGTTTTCCATAACAATCACGCCGAAACAGTTTACCTGAACCATATCCCGTCAGTTCATGAAGTCCAACTTGTAATTCAAAGGAACTTTCAGCATGTTCCACGTACATTTGCTTGTCTTCATTACGTAGAAATTCTGTTTTAGGATCCTTGAAACGAACACTAAGTACATTATCCAAAGAAACATTTTTAAATCCATCAACTTGTCGTACATCATCATAGTTAGGAATATTAGTTCCAACAGGAATTCCAGAAGTTTCAAACGTAACTACATCCAAACTAGTAAGGTCTGGCTGTAAGAAATTAACCTTTTCAAATGTAGAAGGCCATGGTAAATTTGTTAACAACCTCTCAGCATTATTCACAAGTCGTTGTAATTTTTTAGACACTGATCTATTTACAACAGCGACAAATGATTCAAACCTTGCACGACAACCAAAGGGATCACGGTATGAATCTATAATCCCAATATACTTTTCAACAACAGGGTTCTTATTTTTAACCCATAACCTGAAGGCATCTTTGTGAGTGGCTACTGAGCCAGTAGTGAAGCTTTCAGCATACTGATGCCACATTTCTGATTCAATTTGGTTAAGCGAATGTGCTTTAAAATCTTTACAACAATCGACTAATAACTTCATCAGCTCACCATAGTCACCATATTCAAGCTGCGAAGATGTGTCCGAGGGAAGGGCATCTCTTAACTTTTCACGACGTTGACTTAGAGGGATTTGCAGGTCATGGTAACGTTGGGCTAACTGTCTTTGTTTTTCTTGGATAATAGGAGCGTCGAAATGACTTTCTGCAGCAAGCGTGTCAGCATGGACTTTGAATGCATCTATACGTTCACGATGAGCAGCTCCATCACATTCAAGCAAGTTATGCCGCTTTTGTACGTTCATCACACCGTTTAGATCACGACCGACATCCTCTGAGGCTATCTGAGATTCAACATCATTCAACCATAACTCAACATCTTCTATGTTGCGAGCGAACTGTTGTTGCCTAATTGCTTGATCTAAATTTTTCTTCTTGTCTCCCATGGCATTTACGAGATGAGACCAAGTTTCATCCAACTGTCCAATCTTTACTCTTATTTCTGGCGAGTTGTAGTGGTTTGCATTTAACAAATCCTGACCTGTCTTTTTAATATCTTCAACGCGGGATTGGTTCTCTTGTATTTCTGCCTCAAAACTCTGATGCTTCTGCATCTTTGTTTGCAAATTCGTGGAGTCTTTGTAACTTTCATCAGGTGCATTTTCAAGTTTTCTTGATATCCATGACTGCATTTCATCTGCATCTCTATCGAACATTTGGTAACGGTGGGAATCTTGAAGATGCTGACAGCGGTTATGAGCTTTCTCTTTTAATGCATTTCGTCTGCTTTGAAGACCTTCCTGAATCTCATGAACCTGTGCAGCCGCATAGTGGTTTGACTCGATTAAGTTTGCAGCGAATTCATTAAGTTGTCGCATCTTTTCTTCTTGTGCTAAAAGTGACTTTTCGAAGTCTTCATTTTTCCTTATAAGTGCTTCCACAGAATCGAGTGAGTCTCCCACATCATTTATTTCTAAGAGGGCCTCTTGCTTACCAATCCAAGATTCCGACTGTTCAGCGTCGCGGTAAAAATACTGAAGGCCCATACACTGTTCTAGCTGTTCACGTCTTTCCTCACACAACTGCATCAAGGAGGCTCTCTCTCTTTCAAGGGTGGAAAGTTTAGCAGCTATGTCTCCATTACAGGGATGGCCAACACTTAGTAATGCCTGACCTTCTTGCATGCATGTATCGAAACTTTCAGCTCGAGAATTTATCTCAGCGGTGTATTCCTTATGTCGCTCTACTTGGGCTTCAGCACCAACTACATCCTTTGCCAAATCATCCGCCAACATTAACGTCTTCATGTCATTCATCCAGATACTCAAGTCTCTCCAGTCAGCCGAAAAGCGATGCATCTTGAATGACTCTTCCAGTTTACCTCTCCTATCTACAGCCTGACTTTTCAGCTTATCCCATGCAGTAATTAATTCGTCATACTTGCCTTGTATAGTGTCTTGCGAATCAGGATGCTTCTGTGCAAGCGCCTTAGCATCATCTCCAAGTCGAACAATCTTTTCATCTGGGGCAGTCAAATCCCTTTCTAATGCTTCGTGCTTCCTTTGTAAGGCTTGGACTGAGGCAAGATCACGACCACAGTCCTCAATGGATAAGGGAATAGACTTTTCATTCACCCACGATATAGCTTTATCTGTGTCTCTAAAGAAGCACTGTATCTCATAGGCTTCCAGGAGCTTTTCTTGTCGTTTTCTAACCAGATCCTTCAGACGTTCTAGAGCTTCGCGGACCTGTCTGAACTTTTCTATGACTAGGGCATCCTCAGGAAATTTCTCTTTTAGAAGTTCATCTGCCTTCCGATAGATGTCTTCGACACGACTTTCTTGATTCTCGAGATCTTTTGTAAACTCATTAAACCCTTTTTGAAGTGTCTCAACATCTTCCAAGTCTTGACCTAAATCCTCTGATGTTACGTAAGTTTCGTTTTCACGTATCCAGAAAAGTATTTCGTCGACTTGGCGTAAAAACTGGACAAATTTAAGCTTTAGGTTAATGACACTGGATTTTTCTCTGAAAATAGCCATAAGCCTTTCCCACAGGGCATGCAATTCATCAAGACGGTTTTTGATAATATCTGTTGCGTAGTACCCCTGACCAATCATTTCTTCTCCCGTAGAATCTAGAGCTGAGAGTGTTTCAGCATGAACTGTTACTTCGAACTCAAACTCTTGATGTTTCTGTTTTTTCAGCTGAAGATTACTGAGTTCTTTAAAATCCTCATTTGTATATGTTTGCAGTTTTTCATTGATCCAACACTCAAGTTCATCGGCATTCCACTTAAAATATTGATATCCTTTAAGCATGTCCAGAAACTTAGATATGGTTCTGGCGGACTCATCATTAAGAGATACAGCGACTTTATGGGAAGTAGAAGGTTTGTAAGGCGATTTATTGTGACAAGAACATTCGCGACTACCTTGTCGTAATCTTTCTAATTCCATTTCTTTCTCTTTTTGGACTATGCGCAATTTCGCTAGCTCCAATTCTATCATATAGCGTGATTTATCCTCATTGCTTCCAGGGAAATCAGCTTCATTACTCTTTCCTAACTGTGGAGTTAACGACGGCATAGTTTCATAACTTTTGTCTGCCATATTGTTCGAAACTTTCGTCTGGAATGCTGTTCGAAACTTTGTAGGATTATTTTTGTCCTACAGATTTAGTCCCTCCTCAATACTGACGATACAGAGTCTCGGCTTAGCTATAGTTAAAAACAGGATGACTTGACTTAACTTTATCTGTTTCTAAAACATAAAATAAACCATACAATTACACCAAGAAAAATGTACAAATCCATTGTCATCACAAAAATAGGACAAAAACGTACCGAACAGCATTGAAGGTACGGACAAAATGAACAGTCAATTAATTACATGTATATACAAGTAAAGTGACAGACAAAAAAGAACATTCAAGGTCATCACGTGGTGAGAGTTACAATAAATTGACCAATAATCGCGACAAAAAAGGTCACATAATATTGATTGGCTGTTTATCATACAATCTATCTAACTGTCGCGATTAACAGGCTGGCCAACTATGCAGAGACACAAGGACTGCATCCAAATGGCCTACCCCCTTAAAATCGCATACACCATTCAAGGGTAGACAATTTAACTTGTCGTTTTACTTCTTTACATTCTCTTCCGTCTTACTCTCCTAACAGCTTTAACTACACCTATTATTATTATCACTATTACCGGTATATACATATGTATATACCGGCTGACTGACTGTTGTTACGTTTTCGTATTCTTTTTCTCTCTGTTAGTCTAAATACCTTCACTAATTATGTCTATTATTATTATCTCTTTTCTATTGACGGCGATACCGAAGGACTAACTGGTGAAAGGATCAACTCCATTCACAGTAGTAACAGTCTTAACACACCTCATACTACAAACCACATATAATTAATCCTTGCACTACTCCTTTTGGAGTCAACCAAAGCTACGACAGTCGAGTGGCGGGACAAGCTACGCAGACGTTTACCGAAGATCAGGAACCTCTACCTTACAAACAAGAGGCGAGCACGAAGAAATCAAATTGGTTTATACTAGCTCGTAAAAATGATATTGGATATTGGAATACTGTGAAAGTGTTTGAGTCTCGCAAATCAGCTGGTAGTCTATTCCAAATGATTGAAAACTTATTAAAGAAGTTGTGCCGTATGCATGTTTGACAATGCTCCATAGTAACTACATTGACATAATTTCTAAGATTGTTTACAGGGATAGATTTAGTTAGTGGACTGAAGGGGTGAAAGAGGAGGTTAGCTAATTTTTAGTACAAAAATTTAGTTTAATTTAAGCCTTCTTTTCCAGAGCGGTTCTACTTTCAGTCCATTACAAACCTTAACATAGTCAGAACCTGACTCTGGGCCAAGAGCACTTAAAAAAATTGAAGTTGCACTCCCTGTAATTTAAGCTTGTCATTCAGACGGAGCTAGTCAAGAATAAGCAGGTAGTATTCTAAAACGTGTACTTCTGGAAGTTGTCCTAAGCGCGGTGCGTTCAACATTGGCGTTATATTTTTGCATGATTCATTACATAAAATTTATCGGCCAAGTTAAACTTTCGACACCAATAACCAGTCAGAAAACGACCTTGAACTGACCAATCACATTAAAGAGCCGTTTATGATAAGTGGCAGCATATATTTGTACAAAAATGCATAGAAAAAAAGTATAAAGCCGTTACAATGGGTATCTTTCTCTAACATGAGACAAAAACATCTCCCAATTCAACATGGGACTTTCAATAAAAAAATCGCACCACTTTCTGTACATGTATTCGTCCAAATGACTGAAAATGATATCTTTTTGTGATCCATTTATAGCCCGGATCCTGTTTGTCAATCTCCCCCAAAAACCTTCAATTGAATTGGTATGAGTCCGAGTAACAGGATCGACGAAATCATTGGAGTGGTTCACTCTATGGGTAATGTAACCCAGGGATGACTAGGAATCTTAGCCTTTCCACTCGTCGGTATGCACAATTGATCCCCTTTTCACAAGTCGAGTTATAATAGGGATCAAAGTGCTCGCCTTCCTGTCTGCTATCCTTTCAACAAACCCTTTTCGAAGGGACGTGTCATATAAACCGATAACCCAAATGTTGTTTGCTCTCTGACGACCCCGACTGTATTTATTTTTTATCAACACTGTTTCGTCTACATAGAATACTACGTCCTCCCCACCTAACAGTGAAGTAATTCTGTCCATTTTCCATGATGCGATGTCTCTACAATGCTGATACCACTGGACTGTTGAGACAAGGCTATTCTCCGTCTCCGCAGCTGCCGCTCTCACTGGCTGCTTTAGTACCCAATAAATTGCAGATATACAAAATTTGGGTTAGCCAGAGATGTGATCTAGCAAAAAAGTCCCTACGAAATATTAAAATTAGCAGCTTACCCTCTCTAATAATAACTCTTCCAACATATTCCACAACGATGGACAAATCCATCAGTTGAACTCGAATAGCTTTTCAGAGTCATAACACCACCACAGGAACACTTTCTCTCCTTTCTTAGCAAGCCTAAGTCTAGGCAATACTGAACTACAATATCCTCCTCAAACTGTAAACGTAACCTTGAAAAGAAGCGCATTGAAATGAATCAAGCGCTATACAACATTGAACTACGTTCGTGAATCTGATTGGATAATTCGGCGTCATCGCTAATTGGTAGTTATTGGTGTCTAAAGTTTAACTTGGCCAATTTATCTTGTTGTAATCCTTGCACAAGTACTATACTACCTCCATGCCTGTAAACATTAACTGGCAACACTAAACAATAGGAACCCAAACCGAAACGACCTACGAACGCACAAACGACCTTGAGAAACCAATCAGGTGACTCTGTTGTTTCTAGAAGTAATTATGGGTGCTCTACACCTCTGCAGCGATTCCTAATCGCAGTGATGGTGTATTATTGCCTATTATCCAGCGCTTAGTGCAGCTCGGGACTACTATTCACACAGATGAATGGATTAACATCATTGAGGATTCGTTTGCAGGGATGTTGATATAATAATATCTCTTATTCCTATTTCTGCAGGAACATACCAATTGTACAGGCATGGATAAGTTATAATATAAATTACACATATTTTGTTGTATGGTGAATTTACAACTTGGTTGTTCTTTCTGACATTAGAGTCTCTCAGTACAATCTGCTAAATAGTCTATTTGCGTAACATATAAAGAGATATAGAAATATTGTCTTTGCATTAACAAAATACCCAGACATCAGATGAATGTAATA